CTTCCATTTTTAAAGTAGCACACTTTTTCATTGTGTGTGTCTCTTTTGCAGTATCCACACCACCTTTTTTCTTTGTAGTTGTTCTGACTTGTGTTGCCTCTATCATTGTTGTCCACTTTCAGGTTCTTGAACCGAGCATGAAAGGCACCTTCAGCATCTTCTTCTTCTTCGTCTGGAAAGAACTTCTTCTCATGTGCTTCCAGAGAGCCAATCAGTTCGGCATATGTAACTGTATAGAGGTCCTTAGTTTCTTCCATTAGTGAGGCTAGACCAGCATAACTCTTAGGCATAGAAGCTAATACCTTAACCACTAGATCAAAGTTTGATCTTTCTCCTCCTAAAGCCCTCATTTGGTTTGCTATGGCTTGTATCCCTATCAGACTAGGTCTTAATCTTCTCCCCTTCTTTCATTTTTAGGTCTCAAACTCTCTTCGTAAAGATTGTAACCTAACCATCTTGACTTTTTCATTACCTTGATAGGAATGCTCCAGAAGATCCCAAACCTCTTTTGCAGTTGTTGTAGAGAGGATTTTGTCAAAGATAGTATCGGCTACAGCATATTGGATGATTTGGAGTGCAGTTGTATCTTTGGCTTTGAGAGTCTTCAGGTTTGTTGTCTCCTTTGATTTCTCAGCTCCTGGTGTTTCTGGTGACTTCGAAGACATGTCTGGGAGTCCGTCCTTGACAATCTCCCATAACTCCTTATTCTTCAGAGTCGTTCTCATTCTTGCAGCCCAGAACTCATAGTTCTGGCCATCAAATACAGCCACCGTTTGAGATGTTTGTAGGTTGATCGCCATTTGAGCTTTAGTGCTTCTTTCTTTTCTTCTTTTGACTTCTTCTTTTGGTTTTCTTTGACAGGTTCCTCGGACAACTATAGCTCTGATACCGTGTTGAACTTCACTCTTTTAAGGTTTGTTTTCTCTGTCTCTCTCTTTCTTTGTGGATTGATATTTTGAACTCTCTTTAACACTCATCATTCGTTTTTCTTTTCCTTGTTTTTCATTACATTCATACTTCTCATACTTATAGAACTCCTTCCTTTGACTAAACTCTCTTTGACTTTTCTCTTCTCCTTCTTCCTTCTTTTTTTCGACACTTTCCTTCTTCCTTTCTTCTCTTTAGTTCATCATCATCATCATCGCTCTCACCTTATGCTGCTTTTCATCTTTTCCTTTTGCAGGAACACTCAAAGGATCATCTCTCAACACCCATCACCTTACAAATTAGCTTGATTACGACAAGAGAATGATGTTGTTGTCACTCGACGTGCCTTGTTTCTTTTTCTATAGGAGATTCTTACAAAGACAAAGCATATTGTGATATTGTGCCTATGGACGCTTGTCACTTGCTGCTCGGACGACCTTGGGAATCTGACAGACGTGTTCTTCATGATGGATTTCTTAATACTTACAGCTTCAGCTTTAATAATCGCAAGTTTGTTCTCCAACCATCACTACCCGAGCAACGAACGCCCAAGGCCAACCCTGTCCTCCTTCTACAAAAGACTTATTTTCTCTCTGCTATGCACGATGAAGGAATCGTGTTGATCTTAATGACCAAACCTGTCACATCATCGCGTTTTCCAGAGGTTCCGCTCGCTTTCAGTGCTCTCATCAATGAATTTGCAGACGTTTTTCCAGATGGTTTACCCAACGGTCTCCCTCCTCTTCGCGATATACAGCATCGCATTGATTTGGTTCCCAATGCACCGTTGCCTAACCGATCACATTATAGGATGATTCCAAGCGAGCATGAGGAGCTTCGACGTCAGGTCGAAGAACTTGTTGCTAAGGGATTTTTGCGGGAAAGTCTGAGTTCATGTGCTGTTCCTGCATTGTTGATTCCAAAAAAGATGGTTCTTGGAGAATGTGCGTCGATAGTAGAGCCATCAACAAAATTACACTCCGATCGTTTCCTGATTCCTCGCCTTGATGACTTGCTTGATCAGATTGGTTCTGCTACTATTTTCTCAAAGCTTGATCTCAAGAGTGGTTATCATCAGATTCGTATCAACCCTGGTGATGAATGGAAGACGGCATTCAAGACTCGTGAAGGTCTCTTTGAGTGGCTTGTCATGCCTTTTGGGTTATCGAATGCGCCTAGTACGCTTATGCGAGTAATGAATCAAGCATTACGCCCTTTTATAGGCAAATTTGTAGTCGTTTATTTTGACGATATCTTGGTCTTCAGTTCTTCCCTAAGTGATCATCTCTAACATCTCGCTGAGGTCCTTTCAGTCTTACGGCACGATAAATTCTACGCTACTATTAAGAAGTGTGAATTTGGAGCCTTTGAAGTGCAATTCCTTGGTTATATTGTTTCTGCAAATGATTTAGCTGTCGATCCAAGCAAGGTTTCCGCAATCAAGTCGTGGCCGCAACCTACTACGATTACAGAGGTTCGTAGTTTTCACGGACTTGCCTCTTTTTATCGCCGTTTTGTGTCGCAATTCAGTAGTCTTATGGCTCCTATAACCGACTGCATTCGAGATGGACGCTTCACTTGGACACCCGAAGCTGATTCTGCCTTTCAGACGATCAAAACTAAGTTGTGTTCAGCTCCAATTTTAGCTCTCCCGGATTTCACTTTGGTTTTTGAATTGCATTGTGATGCCTCTAAAACCGGTATTGGTGCAGTGCTCAGCCAAAAAGGACGTCCTATTGCTTACTTTAGCGATAAATTGGCAGGTGCTCGTTCGCGCTATAGCACATATGATGTGGAATTTTACGCAATCATTCAAGCAGTAAAACATTGGCGTCATTATTTGTTTCAGAAGGAGTTTGTTCTCTTCACTGATAATGATGCGCTCAAGCATTTACACAGTCAAGGGAAAGTGTCTTCTCGCCATGTGTCTTGGATCGCTTATCTGCAACAGTTTACTTTCGTCATCAAGCACACTTCTGGTTCCTCTAATCGCGTGGCAGATGCTCTCAGTCGCAGACAGTCCCTTCTCGCTGTCCTTCATACTTCTGTCCCTGGGTTTAGCTCATTCATCGACTTATATCCCAGTGATCCTTCTTTTGGTTCGATTTTTGAGGCTGCTTCGTCAGGATCCTCCTCCGACTACACTATTCAAGATGGGTTTCTCTTTCGGAGCAATCGACTTTGCATTCCGGAGTGCAGCCTGCGTCTAAAGCTCATTACAGAGTTACATCAGGAGGGACATGTAGGAAGAGATCGCACTCTTTAGCTCGTTTCGTCTTCTTACTTTTGGCCATCTTTGCACCGTGATGTGGAGCATTTTGTGGAGCGATGTGTTACGTGTCAAACGTCCAAGGGTCATTCGTCTAATGCTGGTATTTATATGCCTTTGCCAGTTCCCACTCAGCCTTGGACAGACATTAGCATGGACTTCGTGTTAGGTCTTCCGCAGACTCAAAGTGGTTTTGACTCCATATTTGTTGTCGTCGACCGATTCTCCAAAATGGTGCATTTTATACCCTGCAAAAAGACCATGGATGCTGTTCAAGTCGCAACATTATTCTTTCGGAAAATCTATCGTCTTCATGGTTTGCCATCTTCGATAGTGTCTGACCGTGACTCGCATTTTCTCGGGCATTTCTGGCGCTCTTTGTGGAAACTCCTTAATACAAGTTTGGATATGAGTTATGTGTATCATCCGCAGACCGTTGGCCAGACGGAAGTCAGAAACAGATCTCTAGGTAACCTTTTACGCTGTTTAGTGGGTGATGCTGTCAAAACATGGGATGCTAAGTTACCCCAAGCAGAGTTTGCGTATAATCATGCAATAAACCGTAGCTCTGGTTTTAGCCCGTTTCAGGTAATTTACGGTGTTATACCCCGAAGCCCTACTGATCTTTCTGCCCTTCCAGATAGGACGCGTATACATGGAGATGCTGCATCTTTTGTTGATGAAATTGCTAAAGTCCACGAGCAGACCGTTCAACATTTGGAATCATCAACTTCTAAATATAAACAGGCTGCAGATGTTCATCGTCGTCGGTTAGTTTTTGACATTGGTGACTTAGTTTGGGTTTATCTTACTCGAGATTGTATGCCTTCTCGTGCTTACAACAAACTTAAGGCTAAGAAGATTGGACCTTTAGAAATACTTGAACGCATTAACTACAACGTCTATAGAGTTCGCCTACCGGCCGATATTACCACTTCAGATGTGTTTAATGTTCGTTACCTTTCCTGGTTCGTTCCAGCTGATCCGGTTCCAGATTCGAGGTCGAATCCTTCTAACCCCGCGGGACCTGATGTAGCATCATCATCATCATCGCCATAGTTTGCCGAACAAGAAACTTACTGCATCTTTTCCTTTTTCAAGTTTTCCTTTTATTTTAAAACTTCGATTAGAAGTGCTGTTTATTCGCCTATATAAGGCATAGCTTTGCTTTGTTTTAAGACTCAGTTTTTGAAGTTTAATAATAAGAGTATTCTCTTTACCCCTGCTTGATTCGATTAAGTTCATCAAATTGGGAAGCCCTTGCATCAATTTCGATTAAGTTCATTGATCCAAGAAGTCAGGTCTCTAGAAATCACCTTGAATTTTATATTGAGCTGAAGTTCCGAAACCCTACGCTGCGCCATGCACTGACCCTTACCGAAAGATCTCTTGCGTTCAGCTCTGCTTCTAATTTGGTCAGTGTCTATATAAGGCCTTGTTGCGTGATGATGCTCCTCAAATTGTAGTAAATGTAGTGATGCCTGTACATGAGAAAAAAGGATTTCATTACATAGGTTAGACACAGATTTTGGAAGTGACAATCGTATTTAGAGATAAAGTGTGATAAACAAATTGAATCAATCTAGAGAAGGTATGGGAGATGAGAAGAGGTTGAAACTGAGGAGGTAGTGGGGAGGAAACTGGTTTAAAGTAGTATGTTTCATATGAGTACTATGGAGGAGGAGGGGAAGAGGCGAGATTAATTGTAAAAAAAAGACGTAATCAATTGGTTGATGAAAATCATATTCGCGAGATGAGAAGCAGATGAAAAGCTGATGTGGACATTATTAAGAGCTCCAAATAGCTGTTTTTATATAGTATAGATGTGAATTATCAAATATTTTACTATAAAGATATGATTTCTTCGAAATGGTATTAAATCTCTACTAAATTAGGTGTTGGATATAAATTATCCGACAAAGAGAAACAAAAATAGAAGAAAAATTTTGAAAGGGATAGAAAAGTCAGAAGTTGCGCAAATAGATGGCTTGAGATTTAGGATTTCTCCTTCCTCTCTGTCAAACCTTAAAAAAAACTTCTTCTTTTTTTACTTCGTTAGATTGTTTGTTTGTCGGAGAAGCTATTCAACGATTCTTGTCTGAGAAACCACAAAGAAGAGGTAAGATCCTTATCAGCTTTTTTTAAACCATGACAATGTCGATTTGATTGAAAATTCATTTGTTTCTTCTTTTAATTAGAAACACAGGATCCAAACCGATCATCATATACTAATTGCAAAATTGCAACATTTGAATATTAGGAGCGGCGTTTGCTGCTCCTAGGAGGAGGGAGTTGTGAAAAGTTTTTGGATAAAAGGTAACTTATACACATTTGTACATTTTTTTAATTTTTTTGTTGTTGTTGTTTAATTGCACATTTTTTTTATTAAGAGATTCTTAGAAAAGTGTTAAATCTTGGAATTCCTACGTTCATACATGTTTTTTTTATAGATGGTTAAAAATGTTAGACAATGTTCGAGTTTTTCATCACAAATTCGATGTATAGACATGTGACTGGTAAATACTATCTTAACCTAAAAACCTTCGTGACAACAATTGGTACTATGCATAGATTTATCAATGAGGACTAGGATTGTATATTTAAAAAAAAAAACAAAAAAATGTAAAACAATAAAGAAAAAGATAAGTTTCTTAGAATCCCTTCATCACATTCATATAATTACGTTTGAAAGGTTTAATTAGATCTTATCAATAACAACATTTCCAGTAGTTCATTTTTATGATTCACAAGACAATTGTGGTATAAAAAAATTTTAATCACCAAATGACAATACAAAACCAAGATGTTTTTGAATTTTGTTTGATTCGTTGTTAAGTCCATTTAGCTATAACTATTATCTTTTCTTAAGCGTCACAAACAAAATTAGTATTTTTATTTTTTTGGTGAAGACAAGTTTAGAATACTAAAAGAAACAGTAAACTAGCTAAAATTTCTTCAGTATCATATCTCTTCAAGTTTTCTTGTATACAGAAAAGGGAAGATGTCGAAGCCTCCCTCCTCAACAAATCAGCAAGAGACTCCTTCTGTGTCCTCTCCTCGGCTGAGGTAGTGAGTTGTATCTGATACATCCACTTTGATCCTCTTTCTCTCTCTCTATCTCTCTAAATCATGAGCGATGGTTTTGAGTGCAGGGACAGCAATAAGAAGATGACGCCAGAGATGGATGATCCGGAGAAAGCAGCAGTAACAATCACACGTCTCATCGAGCAGCTTCACGCGAAGAAATCATCAGCGCAAGAGAAAGAGCTCAGCACAGCTCGGCTTCTCGGTCTAGCCAAAGGCAAAAAAGAATGTAGAAAGATCATTGGACGGAACGTGAACGCTATGCCTTCCTTCATATCACTTCTCAGGAACGGAACCATTCTGGCGAAACTCAACTCCGCTTCGATCTTGACCGTTCTATGCAAAGACGAAAACATTCGTTCTAAAGTACTGATAGGCGGATGCATCCCGCCGCTTCTGTCACTTTTGAAATCTGATTCTGTCGATGCAAGAAGAGCTGCTGCCGAGGCTATATATGAGGTTTCTTTGTGTGGAATGGATGATGATAACGTTGGTACTAAGATATTTGTCACGGAAGGCGTGGTACCGAGTTTATGGGATCAGTTAAAGATGAAAAAAAAGCAAGACAAGACTGTTGAAGGATATTTGGTTGGAGCTTTGAGAAATCTTTGCGGTGATAGAGATGGGTTTTGGACTGTAACACTTGAAGATGGTGGAGTCGATATCATCTTGAAGCTTCTACAGTCTAGTAATCCGGTATCGCAATCAAATGCAGCTTCTCTTTTAGCTCGTCTTATTCGGATTTTCACTTCTAGCATCTCAAAGATAGTAGAGTCAGGTACTGTGCAAGTTCTGGTTCAGCTTCTAAGTGAGGAGAACAGTGTTTTCGTGCGTGCCAGTGTAGTCAATGCTCTAGAAGCCATCACATCAAAGTCAGAAGAAGCTAAGAATGTGGCTAGAGATTTGGATGGGGTTCACCTTCTGATTAGCGCAGTGGTTGCTTCGTCTAAAGAGTCGGTAGATGAAGAAACCGAACATGTCTTACAGAGTTATGGGACACAAGGTTTAGCAAACTTATGCGGAGGAATGTCTGCTTTGATAGTGTATCTTGGAGGGCTATCATTGTCTCCACGTCTCACTGAGCCTATCGCTGATATTCTCGGAGTTCTTGCTTATGCTCTGAGGAAGTTTCAGCTAATTTGTGGTGATGGTAGAGAAACGTTTGATCCAACAGTAACAGAAGGAGTACTAGTGAAACTCTTGAAGCCCCGAGATACTCAACTGATCCAAGAACGTATCTTGGAGGCTATGGCAAGTCTATATGGAAATGTTGACGTATCGAAACCACTCAACAATGTGGATGCTAAGAGGGTTTTAGTCGGACTAACAATATTGGCCACGGGTGGTCCACGTGAGCGGATGATAACTTGTTTATCAAATTTATGCAAATATGAGAATGTTTGGGAAGCTATTGGGAAGAGAGAAGGCATACAAATACTCATACCGTTTCTTGGTTTGTCCAGCGAACAACATCAAGAACTGTCCGTTGAGTTCTTAGCGATCTTGACTGACAGGGTCGAAGAAAGTAGATGGGCTGTTACTTCCGCAGGTGGTATTCCTCCGTTACTACAGATACTAGAGACTGGCGTGTCCCACAAGGCAAAGGATGATGCGGTCCGTGTCCTTTGGAACCTCTGTTGTCACAGTGAGGAAATCCGTCTCTGCGTCGAGAAAGCAGGAGCTATTCCTGCACTCTTGGGACTTTTAAAGAACGGTGGACCAAAATCCCAAGAGAACTCAGCAAATACGCTTTTGAAACTGATTAAAACAGCTGATCCAAGTGTTATCGAGCAAGTACAAGCTTTGTTTCTCGGAGATGCTCCTAAATCAAAGACTCATTTAATAAGAGTTCTTGGCCACGTTCTTGCATCAGCTTCATTGGAGGACTTTGTCACCAAAGGTTCTGCAGCAAATAATGGATTGAGGTCTCTTGTCCAGAGACTTGCTTCATCAAATGAGAAAATGAAAGAGAACGCAGCTTCTGTCTTGGCTGATCTATTTAGTTCAAGAAAAGACCTTTGTGGTGGTCTTGGATTTGATGAGAATGATAATCCGTGCACAAAGCTTTTAAGCGGGAACACTCACGCGGTAGCAACGCAATTAGCGCACGCCTTGGGCTCTTTATCTAATCCAACAAAGAAAAAACTTGGCCAAAAGAAGCTATCCGGTCCAGAAGTCGAAGTGATCAAACCATTGATAAAGTCAGCAAAAACAAACCCTGCAGAGTCAGCAGAGAATCCCATGTCCACTCTTGCAAACCTCCTTTCAGACCCAAATATTGCAGCCGAAGCATTAGATGACGATGTTGTTTCCGCTTTGACAAGAGTACTGAGAGAGGGAACACTGCAAGGTAAGAGAAATGCTTCACAAGCTCTACATCAACTACTGAAACATTTCCAAGTTAATGATGTGTTCAAAGGAAATGATCAGTGTCGATTTGCTGTTCCTGAACTCATTGAACTCTTAAACTCAACTGACCTCAACAACAGTGCGTTTATGGACGTTTTAGAAGTACTCTCTTTGCTAGCCAAAGCTAAGTATGGTGCTAACTTGTCACATGACCCCTTTTCTGCATTCACTGAAGCTCCTTCGAGTTTAGACTCTCTTGTCCGCTGTGTAGCTGAAGGTCATCCTTTGGTGCAAGATAAAGCAATAGATATTTTGTCTCGCTTTTGCAAGACACATTTTGTCTTGTTAGGTGAACTTTTGGTGGCACGGTCAAAATCTATTTGTTCGTTGACTAATAGGACAACCAATTCATCCAGTCCTGAAATAAAAGTCGGAGGAGCTATGTTGCTTGTCTGCGCAGCAAAGAAGGACAAGAAATTATGCGCAGAAGCAATTGGCCAATCAGGTTATACGAAAAGATTAGTGAGCACTCTTCTTGATATGTCAAAGCAGAACTCTCTATGTTCTTCATACAGAGTTGAAATTCAAAGACCAAGATCTTTCATCACAAGCAATTTGTGCTTAAAGTTGAATGACCACGAAATGGTTGATCCAGTTACTATTTTGGGAAGCACAGTCTCCATGTGGTTACTCTCCATTTTATGCTCTAATCCCAAGGAAAGAATTGCCGTCATGGAAGCCAATGTACTTGAAATAATTGCAGAGAAGCTTCAAAGATACAATTTCAACACACAGGTAGATAAGTATACTTACTAGCTCTCTTCTGTTTATTTTTTTCTAAATTTTGTAGTATTTGTTGCTGAGTTATGATCTTCAACTTTTGCAGGAGAATTTCTCGGATTCTGAAGAAAGATGGATTGGTCTATCATTCTTAGCTGTTATGTCTCAGGAATTTAACGTTGTCTCATCTCCGGCAACAGCAAATCTTGTGCCAACTCTAGCTCTTTTCATGCAATCTGATCAGATGATTGATGGATATTTTACTGCACAAGTTTTGGCAGCGTTAGTCCGTAATAAGAATGATAAAATCATTGCAGAAATAGTGAATTCAGATATCATAGAAGCCCTGATCAACACGGTTGGGAATGCAGAATCATGCACAGGGAGTCTTGGTGCCTTAGCAGAAGAGTTATCTCTGTTACAAAATCCTTGTGAGGCTACATTAGAAGCATTATTCGAAGATGAAAGATTAAGACGCGATTCACTTACCAAAAGATGTATTCCTTTACTGGTGAATCTCTTGAAGCCTAATGCAAATAAACCTGGAGCCTTACCTGTAGCTGTTCGGCTTCTGAGTCGTATTGCAGAGTGGGGTGATTCAAGTAAATTACTCATGGCTGAATCTGGAGCTCTTGATGGTTTAGCAAAGTACCTTTCTTTGAGTCCTCAAGATTCGACCGAGTTCACAGTTTCTGAACTGTTAGGATCACTCTTCCGCTGTTCAGAAGTCACACACCACAAAACAGCTTTAAGTTCCATGAAGCAGCTCATAGAAATTCTTCATAATTCTTGTAGAAGTACTCGATACAGCGCAGCAAGGGCTCTTCGTGAGCTTTTTAACTCTGAGCACATCAGATATTCTGAATCAGCATGGAAAGCGCTTTCCCCTCTTATTGAAATGTTGAATACCACGCTGGAGAGTGAACGAGAGGCTGCTTTAACAGCTCTAGTGAAGCTAACTATGGGAAAATGTCCAAGGGCGGCAGATATTCTTAACAGTCTTGAAGGAAACCCATTGGAGAACATCTACAAGATTTTATCTTCAGATAGTTCATCGCTTGAATCGAAGACAAGTGCTGCGAGGATATGTTCCTTTCTATTTACAAGCGAAAGTTTAAGAACAAGTTCGGCTGCTGCAGATTTCATGGTACCTCTTATATCACTTATCCGGTCAGGAACAAGCACTACTGTAGAAGCCGAGATAATAGCACTTGACAAACTCTTAGATAGCAAAAGATTCACAGAGATCGCAGAGGAACATGATTGTGTGAATCTGTTCTTCGGCCTTATGGCTTCTGGAAACTATCTGATCAGTGAGGCTGCAATTTCTTGTCTGGTGAAAATGGCTAAAGACAAGACTCCGCGTAAAATGGATTTCATTAAAATGGGGATAATAGAGCAATGCCTTGGTCAACTCTCTACATACCCTCCAAGCTCATTATGTTCTGTAGTCGCTGAGTTATTCAGAGTTTTGACGAACGTTGGTGCTATAGCTAGAAGCCAAGACGCAATAAAAATGGTACAACCGCTCCTCTTGGTTTTGCTTAGACAAGACTTGGATTTTCAAGGCCAGCTCGGTGGTTTACAAGCGATAGCAAACATCTTAGAGAAGCCAGTGGTTCTTGAATCATTAAAACTCGCATTATCAGCAATCATTATGCCATTAATACCATTGCTTGAATCTGAATCTATAGCGGTCCAACACGCAACCGCAGAAATACTGACCTCTCTATTCGAAACACAACGTTTTCAAGAGGAGATCATGACCAAGGATCTCATTGCTCCTCTCGTGAAACTCTCCGGGATCAGAGTAAGAAACTTACAAGAGATAGCGTTGATGGGTTTAGAGAAATCATCCCTTACATGGACGAAGGAGGTAGCAGATGCCGAGGGAATTCAAGAGCTTTCCAAAGTTATTATGGACGAAGATCCTCAGCTTCCTGTATCTCTATGGGAGTCAGCAGCTTTCATTCTCTGTAACATTCTCAGATTCAACTCAGAGCATTACTATTTCACAGTAACGGTACAAGTTCTTGCGAAAATGTTGTTCTCAACAGCCGAGAGCACGGTGATATTAGCCATCGACGCATTGATCATCCGCGAGAAGCAAGACTCATCAAGTGTTGTAGAAATGGCTGAAGCAGGTGCACTCGACGCATTACTCGATCTACTAAGATCACACCACTGCGAAGAGCTCTCAGCAAGATTACTTGAACGAATACTACGAAATCCAAAGGTAAGAGAGACAAAAATCTGCAAATTTGTGATCACTCCATTGTCAGAGTACATACTAGACAAAGAGACAAGATCAGAATCCGCAAAGCTACTCGTGGCGATGGCTCTCGGTGACATCTCTCAACACGAAGGACTCGCTAAAGCCACGGATTCGGCGTTGGCGTGTCGTGCATTGATCAGCTTGATTGAGGAAGAACCAAGCGACGATATGCAAATGGTTGTGTTGTGTGCGATGGGAAACTTTGCAATGCATAGTAGAACAAGCAGAAAAGCTATCGCGGAAGCTGGTGGTGTGTGTTTGGTTCAAGAGTTGCTTAGATCTTGTAATCCAGAAGTTTCTACTCAAGCAGCACTAATGATCAAATCTCTCTTCTCTAATCATACACTTCAAGAACACGTCTCTAGTGAAATCATCAAATCTTTAACTGGTAAGTTTCCGAATTTCGAAGTTTTCAGTTTCTCGTTATCCGATTCTTTAACTCACCTCTTTCGATTGCAGCTGCGATGGAGAGAGAGTTTTGGACGACAGCGATGATAAACGTGGAGGTAGTGAGAACGCTAAACGCGATTCTCACGACGTTTCCTAAACTCCGTTCATCGGAGGCGGCGACCGCCTGTATCCCTCATCTAATCGGAGCTTTGAAATCCGGCGATAAAGAAGCGAGAGACTCGGCGTTAGACACGATCTATACTCTGAGACAGTCGTGGATAACAATGCCGACGGAGACGGCGAGGTCTCAGGCGGTTTTAGCGGCGGAGGCGATTCCGGTTCTGCAAATGATGATGAAATCGAAACCTCCGGAAGGAAGCTTCCATCAGAGAGGGAACAGCCTCTTGAATTGCTTGCCGGGAAGTTTGACGGTGGTGATCAAACGCGGCGATAATCTGAAACGCTCTACGGGAAACACAAATGCATTTTGCAGCTTAATCATCGATAATTGTCCAACCAAGAAAACTAAGGTATAACCGGTTCAATTATGATTAATTTCGGTTTAATTCAGCTCAGTTTCGGTTCAACGTGATTGAATTCGGTTCAATGTGATTGAATTCGGTTTCATTGGGTTCAAGTTCAGTTTGATCATTCGGTTTCGGTTCAATGTGATTATTTCGGTTCCGGTTCAATTTGATTGAATTCGGGTCCATGCGATCGAAATCAGCTCAATTTGGTTGGGTTTTAACTAGATTTAACCTGAATTATATTTTGGTTCAGGTTGTGAAACGCAATAGCTCACCGGTTTGGAAGGAATCATTCACATGGGACTTTACTGTTCCTACTAGAGGACAGTTTCTTGAAATCGTCTGCAAATCCAATAACATATTTCGCAACGTATGTTTAAAATTTTCTCACTTTCGTGGTTATCTTTTGATTTGCAATTTTTGACTAATTTTTTTATTATTTTTTCTTATAAAAATATTCCAGAAGAATCTGGGTAAAGTGAGGATACCAATCGACAAAGTGTTAACTGAAGGGAGTTATAGTGGAAGTTTCAGATTAAGTGACGAAAACAAGAAAGATGATTCTGATAGAAGTCTAGAAATCGAGATTGTTTGGTCGAATCAGACATTTTCATATCCATAAAAGGTGTTCAAATTGCTCTTACTTAACTTGATTATGTTATTGTTTATTCTATAAATTTTATAGTTTCTCACTTGTGTATTATGTAAAACTCAAAACTATCTGAAAGCGGGAATTTCTATTGTCGTCATTCCGAAATTAAACTGATGTATAAAAATTGAGGATACGGAGAGAGAAAAATCACTGAAAAAAATCGGATGTATCCATCAAGTGGATTTGAAGGAACATATCATCTACTTAAATCAATCAGAATATATGTGAAAAGGATGATGTCCAACTGAACTGTATATAATACTATGAGACCTGACCGACATTTATAAAATAAAAAAATGCATATCTATATGTATTTCTTCGAACTCAGGAAATTTTCCAGCTTAATAAAGATAAAGATGGAAGCTCTAAAAAACTAAAAAAATCTTTGTTACTAGACTATTATACATTCGTTTTGAATGACCATGCATTAATAGTTGATACAATTGGTTAAAGTGATTATGACCAACGATGAGTTAGCTTAGTTGTTGAGTCCCTGGATTACATATAGCATAGGATTTTGGAGGTGATGGGGTTGAATCATGTACATTAGGAGAAACCTGCTCTCCTTTGCTGAATGAAAATCCCAGTGCGAATCCGGATCTAACTCTCTTCCTTCTCTGGTAAGTTTAAGCTCCTCGAGTCTATAATGGCGTCTAGGCTAGGATTAGACTAAGAATTGAAGGGATTATGAATTGTTTATGGCTATTGTTTTTGGGCGAAAAGTTTCAAGTTCTTTTTTCTTAAATAGATTTCTCATTCGGGTATGTTTTTAAATACTATTTTGATAAAAACAAAAATATACAATCAATCATAGTTACTAAGATATTACTTTGTGTATATTAATAAAAATAATACTATATCTAAAAACACAAATAAGTAGTCAAAATCAATACAACTTAAAATCGTCTTTTGTAATTGTCTTTTTCAATCTATGAATAGTTTTTTTTTGTTATTTTTTATTCTTTTATATTTCATCATAGCATAGTTTTGATTAAAAACACAAATAAATAATCAAAATCAATACAACTTACATGAAAACTTCAGTAAATGAATTACATAAAACATCAAAACAAAAATATTATATTAATCTATGGCAGTCGTAAGATAAATATAAAATATAATCTTTTGTATCTTTCTTGCATTATCAATCTTATGTGGTCATGTGGAAAATTTTATGGACATGTGGCAAAAAAGTTATTTTATTGTCCTAACTGGTTTAGCCAATACAAATTTCTGATTTAATATAGTACACTGAAAAAACAAACTATTAATCCAATTCTTGCTTTCGGATTCATGAAAATTTTTGTTTTGTATCATATATATTGTTTATGATAATTTTTAAATAATTTTAACAATTATATATACCTCATTTTTTCTAACCAAAGTGAATAAATTTTTTATTTTATTTAAATTGATTCTCATTATATTTTTTTTCTATAGAATACCCAAAAAGGAAAAATTTCTTTTATAATGCTAACTGAAACCAAATTTGTCTCTTTAATGTTTTGTTGAAAAAAGTTGTCCCTTTAATGTTTATACTAATGTTAACCCAGTTTTGCCTTCTAATTTTTGAATTATTGATTATTACTATATATTTAAATTTTAATAATATTCATTCAAAAATAAATGTAGAAAACAAGAAGCAGTCACCATTATAATCTTGCAACTGGTTCATGTAACCCATCCAACGGATTCCCATACAACAATCAAGCTCTTAGTAAAACTAAAACCACATGTAGATATTTGAATATATGTTTAAATTATCGCTATGTTTTGATATTCACACTTGAAACATTGAAGACCCATTTACTGTATTTGGGTGGCTAACTAGCTAATATGTCCATTGAGCTTTTTAACCATATTACTATCCACTAATTATATATATATTTTTCTATTGATTTGAAAGCAGAAATTTAAATCTTTATTGTTTCATCAGAAAATTTCAAGAGTAAATTAATTCAATAATCATATTTGAGGTCGAATTTGCAGAAATGACCAAGACTCCACAAAAAACTATCACTACTATGGGGATAGTCATCAGCGATTACCCTTTTACCCCCAAAAGGTTATGCCACATCGTTTATTAAGTTCTGACAGGAGATGTGGATGATTATATAGGGTGGCTAAGAGAATTTTATCGACTAGGGAGAAGTATTTTTTTTCGTTAATCACAGCCACACAAATTGTTCCCTCCAGACGAACAAAATACATTATAGTAACAAGTTACATATTTTGTTATAGATTAATAATTATTAAATCATATATAAACATATAAATTTAGATATAATATTATGTTTTACACGATAAATATAATGTTAGATTGATAACAATTATGAGTTGTATAAATGATTAAAGATATTATTGCTATATTTAGCACGTTACGTATAAATTAACGTCTAACATTATAATTTACTAGGTAAAAAGTATGTTAGATTGATGACAATATTGAGTTATATAGATGATTAAAAATGTTATTGATATACTTAGCATGTTACATATTAACGTCTGATGTGATTCTAGGAAGCAACAACAAAGACTTAGAGTTGGAACTAGAAGATGGAGAGCAAGTAGCTGAGGAACAAGAGCTTGTAGCTGATCAAGAAGATCTTTTAAGCGTTCCAAGTGGTCCAATGACTCGATCAAGGACTAAGAAGCTCAAGCAAATCATTGGAGCTATCATCAAAGGCCTTGATTCGATTCAGGAGGGAAAAGAGCCGATCACAAGCACCCTGATTGTGATCCAAGTCCAAGATGGCTAAGTGGGCTTGAGATCCAGGCTTGTACTCTTTTTCTCTATCTCAAGTTTTGTCCCATTGGGTTTTCTTGAGATAGGTTTTTAATGAGGCAAGAATGGATCTCTATTTCGCCTAAGTCCACAAAGCCTAAGCCCAAGCTGTTTCATCAAGAGGAGCGTCTAAATCGAATTCAAACTTGACAGCTTGTTCTTTGTTTATTTCCGAGATTGAGTTAATGTTTGTGAGACTCATCTCTTCTTTCTTTCTTCTTTATATTCGCTTGAACTCCTTTGTATCAAAACATCTTATCTTTTATTCTCAAACTCTTACTTTAAAGATTAAGATCACGTTTGTTGGTGTGTCATATCCTTCAAACACCTTGAATCGACTTTGTGTGTGTGATATCACTTAGAAGATTCAAGTAGGCGTATCAAGAGTGTTCCGCGACTCTTGTGTGTGTCCTATCGATTCCCCAAGCTCCTTGAACAATCTCCGATTGTTTCCAAGGCCTATTTCATCAAGTTCCAGTCATTAGAGTGACGATCGAGGGAAGATCCTTACCAGGATCACATCAAGTGGTATCAGAGCACCATTCTAATCACTGGATCGTCGTGTATCAGGTTGTACCGATTCAAATCTAAGTTCTTTTCGAGTTCTAATCTGTATTTTATGATCACTTGTGCTAGATCTGTTGAGAACTTGATTGTTTGCATCACAAGACATCTAGATCATACTAGTCTTACTATAAACTGACCGATCAACTTCCTACTTGCATTCGTTTGAGATCGTCTTTTTAAATTCGCCTAAAAGTGACTATCGAGATTCCGTAAGAAGAACCGATCGCTAGTGACTTTACTTGTGAATTTTTCAGGAAAACCATGACCGAAGAAGAAGAGTCCAACCAACAACGAGACAACAAGCTTCTTATGGAGGCCATGACCGCAAAAATGAAAGAGTTAATGGCTGCTCAATTCGAAGTGTTTAGGCAAGGGATGCAACACCAATCCGATGCGAAAACTGATCGAGAAACAAGGAGAAGGAATCGTGTGCAATCACCTGAGAGAACCAGAGAACAACTTAGACCACCAAGAGATGAAGCGGCTGAATCGTACTACAGCCGAGACAGCAGCTCTTCTAGGAGCCATCACCGACGCCAAAGACGAGCCCGAGACAAGCCTATACCTCTCCAAGACAGACTAGGAGGAATTAAGTTGCGAGTTCCTTCGTTTCATGGGAAAAATGATCCGGACGCTTACTTGGAGTGGGAAAAGAAGATCGAATTGGTCTTTAACTGTCAACATTACACCGAGATTAACCGAGTAAGGGTCGCGGCCACCGAGTTCTACGACTACGCCTTAAGCTGGTGGGACCAATTGGTTACTTCTAGAAGACGCAATGGAGAATATCCTGTTGAGAGTTGGCAAGAAATGAAAACTATCATGAGGAAGAGGTTTGTGCCGAGCCATTATCATAGGGAATTGCATCAGAGGATCAGAAGATTGGCTCAAGGCAACCGATCAGTGGAAGAATACTATCAAGAAATGGAAACCCTTATGTTGAGAGCTGATACCGAAGATAGAGAGGCCACGATGTCAAGGTTTCTAGGGGGCTTAAATCGAGATATACAGGATCGGCTTGAGATGCAGCATTACGTGGAGGTTGAGGAAATGTTTCATAAGGCCATCCTTATCGAGCAACAGCTTAAGAGGAAACCGGTGATAAAATCAAACTATGGAGCCGTATCTACAACTTCTAGGCCAAGTTACCTAAAAGAGGAGAAGCTCAACCCTTACCAGAGAGATGGAAAGCAAATCGCGGTGCCAAAGCCTGAAAACAAGCCGTTCGTGACTCAACAAGAAGGCAAAGGCAAAACCAAAGCCTCCACAAGTCGATCTAGAGATGTAAAGTGTTTCAAGTGCCAAGGCCGAGGTCACTATGCCAATGAGTGCTCTAATAAAAGAGTCATGATTATCAAAGACGATAGAGAGATCGAGTCTGAGGAAGAAAGTCTAGAACATGAACTTATGACCGAGTATGAGGAGATGCCGGCTCAGGGTTCCCTACTAGTTGCCGGAAGATCTCTAAGTGTTCAGTCAAAATCAGAAGAGCAGGAACAAAGAGAGAACCTATTCCACACTCGATGCCTTGTTCAAGGGAAAGTATGTAGTCTTATCATCGATGGGGGCAGTTGTACTAACGTCGCTAGTGAGGCTATGGTTAAAAAGTTAGGTTTAAGCGTTAAGAAGCATCCGAGACCATACAAGCTTCAATGGTTAAACGAGAATGGAGAACTTAAAGTGAATAGCCAAGTCTCAGTTCTTATAACCATCGGACGATACCAAGATG